ATATATAATAAGACATTTTGGATCAGCATACTTTAAAAGCATATTATTAATAAACACAGATATGAAGTACCCCAAACAATCATAAATACATACAAGGCCTTTGAAACTGAGGCTCTTTTATTTTAATTTTTTTGTTAATTTTACATAGCAACCACAGTTTCCCCTCCCTCCTCTCCTCCCAACTCCCACCCTAGCTCTCCCTGCACCCCCTCTCATCTCATCCACTCCTCAGAGAGGGTAAGGTCATCCATGGGAAAACAACAAGGCCTTGCACTTCAAGATGAGGCAAGATCAAGGCTCTCCCCCATTGCATCACGGCTGAGTAAGGCATCCCACCATGGGGAATGGGCTCTAAAAAGCCAACTCATGCACCAGGTATAGATTGAGGAGGGCTGATCACATGGACAGCCTCACTCCCATATGTCAGCACCCATTGTAAGGACAAGACAACCAGTCCTCCTTAACTCAGCTTTGTTTCTTCTGGCCCCTGAGAAGACATCAGCTGTGTTGTATGATCTTTCCTTGGGGAGACAAACAAATACCTATTCATCCCTTATAGGCACCCATAACAAACCAAAGAAACATTGTCTTTCAAGTCGAGTTAGGAACATTGATCACTCACAGGCAGCTGGGCCACTGCAAAGCCCACCTTAGAGTGGCAATGGTTCACCAGAGTCACAGCCCTGGAGGCCCCAGCATCATTTGCAGGTATCTTCGCTGGCCTGAAATCCCCACTCCTGGAGAACAATTTTTGCTTTTACAACCTGTAGGAGAGCTTCATGACTCTTTTAAGGTTTGCACTATCTAAGATATTATTTTTATTTACTTTCTGCGTCTTATTTTTTTTACATTTACAATGTGTCTCTCTGTTTAGTGTGCATGTTCACACATGTGTGGGCATGTCAGGCTTATGTTGGGCCTGATCCTCAATTTCTACTTTAACTCATCAAGGAAGGGTCTCTCGATTGAACATGGAGATTGCAGATGTACACACTCTAGGTAGGCAGTTTGCTCTATGATTCCATTCTCTCTCTGTTTTCTGAGCATGGGAGTTCAAGGTGGCTGGACACCCACTCAGCATTTATGTGGGTTTTGGAAATTGAGCTCTGGTCCTCATACATGCATGGCAAGTACTTTATGCACTTGACCATAGATTCCCTCAACTTCCTGAGTTTTTATTAGAATGATTAGGAGCAAAGAGTAATAATACAACTATTTAATCTTTTGTGTGTGCACCTGTGCATGTTTGGGTGTTGTATGCGTGCATGTGTGCATTCATGAGTGTGTGTATGTGTGTGTGTGTGTGTGTGTGTGTGTGTATGTGTGCATGTATGCTTTCAGCTGTGCGTGTGGAGTTAAAGATCAGGAAGAAAGGTAGAGAGCTGAGGTTGGGGATTGTCATGTTCTGACATAATAACACATATGAACCTTACCCTTAGGTTTTCCCATGTTGATAGTGGATGGGCTAGTGTTACAAGGGTGGAGGGCAGGCATGGAAGGACTGGAAAATGAGTAGGATTTGGGTACATGCTGTGAAATTTGAAAAAAATTCAATTAAAATATATGCTAAAAAACAAACAAAAAAGCAGAATGTGGAACTGTAAACAGTTATGGAGTCCAGTCATCTTACAGATGCACCCTCCATTTCTGGACTCTAGACTATTCCAGGTATAGTCAAGTTGACAACCAAGAATCAGCATCACACTTATCAAACAAACGCTCAGTGCCAGTTTGTGGTACCTGCCCCTGAGTTGTTGATTAGGAAGGTCCCAGGGACCTCAAAATAAAGCAGTCGGCTATTGGTATTATTTTTCATTCCTTATCAGACCCTGATGGTAAGATTCTGTTGCTGAAGACACCACATATTTTGGGCACAGGACATAGAGAAATATTGGTACTGAGCCGAAAGCTTCATGCTTTGTGACCAATGTTCACAATATTGGAGGGTACTATGCAGCCTGCTGAGGGAGAACAGTAATTAACAGTCTTGTGTGACTGGGGATTTGGTCAAAGACCAGTCTCCATGGGAAGAACGCTTGCCTTTCTTTTCTGCAAAAATCTTGACATCTAAACCTTGTCCACTATGACTCAAGACTCCAAGACTCAAGGTCCAGCTAAGGCCAGGCATTTCCAGCTTATTTTCTTCCCCTTTTAAAATGGCTTTAAAGAACCTAGTGATGGACCTGTCCCTTTATCCCAGGGACCAGAGTCACTACTGCAGCATGCCTTACCACTGTGGGTCTGAAATACTGTCTTATTGGCAACTACAACTCATTTTGGAATAGAGTTCTGTTCTACCAAGTGTGAGTCTCTGGAGCATCTCTTTTCTGTTAGATCCATGCCAGTGCTAGTCTCTGTTCCCCAGAGACAGAGATACTGCCACATCCCTTCTTAAATTAGCTACTGAGCCCTATATCTGAGTCACAGACCTGTGCGTGTTATGCATTCCGTGGTTTTTTTTTTGTGTGGGTTTATGTGTATTTGTTTTCTCTACTCCCCAGAGGCTTAAGAGTGAATATGAGACTAAGTCCTAGGTGCTACAGACCCTGGGGCCATAGCCATCACTTCACTGCAGCTCCAAACAGGCTCAAGTGATGCTGGTATTTCTTGTGGGTCACATTATACCTGAACCCTTTCCAAATAGCCCTGACTTACACTGAGTCTTCAAAAGCTCAATTATATTGCACATAAAGTTGATACTCACCCCACTCCCGGAAATACTATATAAGAATTTATTTCCCCTTTTTTTCTGAAATGGACTGTCCATGTTTTTTGTTACCAGCAGCAAACAAACAAACAAACAAACAAACCTCAAATGAAGGGCAAAGCCTTTCTAGTTGCAGGTTCCTCCCCAGCTGTACTGAGGTGTTCATTCCTAGAGGAATGATTGACAATGGGAAGAGAAGAATGTGGCAGATAGAAGGGGACCTGTATTAATCTAGCTGATATAATGGTGGCTTTGGCCAGGGAGGCTTTGTCTTGTGTACTTAGAGTTTCTCAAAGCTCTCAGCAATCTCCTCACACAGCTTCCTTCATGGATGGTGTTCTGACAGTTAGTGTTTCTTCTCATCATCAGAGAAAGAAACTAAGACAATGTACAGATTACTTCTTAGGGCCTGAGACACCAAACCTGTTGATCTATATTTTACCTGTCTGGCAGTTTCTATAAGCTTTCTATTGGAAATTGGCTCATTGCTTTAAGAAGTTTACCTAGTGGCTCAAGGTCTCCCATAAGAATATTATAACTAGGGCTTTAGCCATTAAATATCTAATTAAAAGTTTGTAAGCTGTGCTTCTCTTAAGGTGTAAGTCTGTCTAACTGATAGAAGAATGGAAAAAGAAAGCATTTTAACTCATGATGCTGGCCTCATTAGACATCAACATGTAGAAGACTGAAAGTAGATTCACATCCATCTCCAGCTCAGTCGGTTGAGCATGAGACTCTTAATCTCAGGGTCGTGGGTTTGAGCTCCACGTTGGGCGCAATCTATCCCATCCAGAGGGATACGAACTGGGGTTCCTGATAAACCTGGAGGAGAGGAATGGAAGGGCAAGAGATAGGAGAAACGGCGGCAAGACAGGTTTTCTGATCAAGTCGTGTTTTATCCTTTCTCAGAAGCTGTTGTACAGCAAAAAAAATAAAAAATGGGCAAGTGGGAGGGGAAGGTGTCAGAACCACTGGAATTCAGGTCCAGAGACATCCCTAGCTGATAAGGAAATCCTGAGTGTCTGTGATTGTTGACTAACAAAGGAAATGCTAATTGTTTCTAAAAGCCTGGGGCCAGCAGGTCTCATTAGGAGATAAGATACCAGGTTGATTTCCTAGGCCCAGAATTTACCCTGCAGAGGGGAATTACTTACTTGTGAACTTAAGATGACTGTAAACAAAATACAGACCTCAAAATACAGTCTTTGCTTCTGGTAGGGAGGGGCTTGCTTCTGACTCAACTGAATGTGTCAGGCTTTGGTGACTCACCATGGGAGGCCTTAGCATTTCTGAGGAGTGAATTGGGGTGTGCTTATGGGAGGCAGGGGAAGAGGGGATAGGAAGACTGTGGTTGGTATGTAAAATGAATAAAAATATTAAAAAATAAAATGTGTCTCTCTGTGTGGTATGCGTGTTCACGTGTGTGTGTGTGTGTGTGTGTGTGTGTGTGTGTGTGTGTGTGTGAGTATGTCAGGCTTATGTTAGGTCCTATCCTCAATTGCTCTCCAGTCTTTGTCACCAAGACAAGGTCCCTCAATTGAACCCAGAACTTGTAGTCATCTCACACTCTTGACAGCCAGCTTGCTCCATGGTTCCGCCTTCTCTGCCTTCTGAGTTTGGAGTCCAAGGTGCTTACTACACCCACTCAACTTTTATATGGGTTCTGGAAATTGAGCTCTGCTCATTATATGTGCACGACATGGCACTGTGTGTGTCTCTGTGTGAGTGTGTGCATGTGTGTTTTATTTATTTATTTTTTTTGTTCTGATTTTTATTATTTTTTTTAATTTATTTATTTATTAAGGATTTCTGCCTCCTCCCCGCAACCGCTTCCCATTTCCCTCCCCCTCCTCCGATCAAGTCCCCCTCCCTCATCTGCTTGAAGAGCAATCAGGGTTCCCTGACCTGTGGGAAGCCCAAGGACTGCCCACCTCTATCCAGGTCTCGTAAGGTGAGCATCCAAACTGCATGTGTGTTTTAAAGTGTACATGTGGAGCTGTGTAACATGAAGTCCTGCTTGTTGGTTCCTATCCTGCCCACTTCCCACAGCCGGAAAGCCCCAAAGAAAGTCACACAGAGGTCTCCATAAGTTATAAACTGATTGGCCCATTAGCTTAGGCTTCGTATTAGCTCTTATAACTGATGTTAACCCATTATTTTTATCTATGTTAGCCACATGGCTCAGTACCTTTTTCAGTGGGACAGGTCACATCTTGCTTCATCGGTGTCTGGACAGGACTCAGAAAGAACTTCCTTCTTCCCAGAATACTCCTGTTCTCATTGCCCTGCCTCTACTTCCTGTCTGGTTGTCTTGCCTATACTCTCTGCCTGGCTATTGGCCTATCAGCATTTATTTAAAACATGATTGACAGGATACAGACAATTCTCCCACACCAGAGTTTAAAGACAGAGAGGAAGGTAGAGAGTTGAAGCTGGGGATTGCCAGGTTCTGACATATTAACACACATGGCCCTTATCCTTAGGTTTCTCATGGTAATAGTGGATTGGTTAGTGGAAAGAAAAGATATAAGAGGGGGAATTTATCTAGTGATTCCATTGTATTCACCATTGATCTTGTGATCTTGTCATGGTCAGTCACTGTGGTTGAGCAGAGCTTGAACTAGTTTTTTAAAATATGTCTCTCTAAGGAGAACTTTGGCATCTTCAGTCACTGTGTCAAGGAAATAAAGTTGTAAGTAAAAGGTTTTACCAAAGTAATGCCCTGTAGCAAGAGGCCCACCATTAGCTGAGGCAAATTTCTCCACATATTTCAAAATCATTTCTCCCAATGTTTCTTCTTTCTTAGTTTCCAACAAATAAGGAGATTTAATTTTTTTTTTCAGTTGTTCAACAGGCACTTGAGAATTGTTAGCCATGGCTTCCAGGGATTCATCATCCAGTCCAAAGAGGACTCGGTAGTGGTTTAACTTCACTTTCAACTCTTCGACTTCATCCATGAGGGTGTCCACTGTAGGAACAGTAGCCAAAATTCCAGCCTGGCAGGCTTCCAACAAGATAAACTGCTGCATAAATTTGTGCTTTTTGTCAACGACAGCCTCAGTATTATTAGGCAAGGAAAGTATAAAGTTGTGGTGCTTTTGAGCAGGAAGATATTTTATCATTGTGTCCATCAGGACTGGAAAATTATAGTCTGATAAATTGTGGTTAGAAATCAAGAAAATTGGTGGAGCATCCATGTTATTCTGAATGAAGGTGTTCACACAGTATCTTCTGACCAGCTGCAGGGTCTTTACTCTGTCAAAGGTACATGGTTTGGATTCCTTTTCATTTTGTAAGTCAGCATCCACTTTGGTTCTTACAAAGTAGCAATTCTTTCTCTTCAATCTGATTGCTTGGGCAAGGTCTAGTTCAAGTAGTTTAAAGCGTGTGGCGGAAAGAATCACGAAGAAGTCGTACTCTTGGAATTTTACTTTCTCCAGATAATATTTTGGTGGAATGTTCATAGTTCCAATACCAGGCAGCTCCCAAAAAGTCAACGTTTCAATTTTGGGGTGCTTGTATGGAGTTCTCATCATAGCTTTCTCTGCTATCCCAACTTGAGTTGCATCTTCCTCTTCAGGTCCAACTCCCCTCAGGGCATTGATGAAGCTGGACTTCCCTACTCCAGAATCTCCTGTCACAGCAACGTTTATTGGGGCATAATAAATATATTCTAATTGAGCACTGATTCTATAATGTGCCTGCTGAACATCTCCTTTTCTCAGAGACCTTTTTATAGAACGGATGATTTCTGGAGGAATGATTTTGTTTTCTATTTCAATATTATTAAAATATTCAGTGAAACTGGATTCCAAATCTCCACGGTCTTCATTCTCTGATGTAGAAGAGAATGACTGACCCATGATCGTGATTAAAGAAATAAGTCACTGAAAGAAGGAAGGGAGAGTAAGTTACAAAAGATCAAAGATGCCTGTAGTGGCATTTTAATTGTACTTCAATAAATAAATACTTCCTGAAGATTTAAGAGTAAAACAGTCCCACTGGTTAGCCTTACAGACCTGGAAGTGGTAACACACACCTTTAATCTTAGCAGCCACACTAGTTGCCATAGAAACCAGGCGATGCATGCCTTTAATAATAATGGTACAAGCCTTTAATCCCAGCCCTAGAAAGGATTATAAAACAGGAGAAAACAGCTCTCAACACACAGTCTCATTCTGCGGTTCCAGGAAGCAGGATCGCCATTTCAGATTGAGATCAAGGTAAGAGCCAGTGGCTGACTGCTTTGCTTTTCAGATCTTTAGGTTGAACCCCAATTTCTGACCCTGAGCTTTTATTAATCTTGGTTCAGATGCCTTCATTCTTAGCACTGTTTTGCTTCACTGTGCTGCCAACTTAGTTACATTCTGTTATTGACTAGTTCCTGGATAGTTTGTGCTTTTTTTTTTTTTTTTTTTTGATCAAGTAGATACAAGCTATAGTCCTATTGGAGAAGAAAACCTCATTTGAGGGATTTTTCCCATCAGATTTGACTTGGGGCACTTTGTTGATTCAATATTGATGTGGGAAGTGCCAGTTCACTGTGGGTGGTATCATCTTTGGACTGGTAGTCCTGGGTAAATTAAGAAAACATTATCAAACTATGGAGAGCAAGTCAACAAACAACATTCTCCTATTGTTCCTGCCTCTGCTCCTCCAGAGTTTCTGCCCTGATTTCCCTGAGTGATGGACTGGGATCAGAATGTGTGAGCCCTCCCCAATCATATGCTTTTCAAAATGTTTTTGGTCCTGGTGCTTATAAAAGCAATAAAAGGAATCTAGATTAAATTTCTACTAGCTCCCAATTAAACCCTTAATTACAAAAATTTGATAACTGAAGTAAAGCAAGGCAAAATCGTATAAAAATCCATATGAGTCCTTTAGCCAGCGTCAACAAGTATAAAAGCACGAACAATTGTACTGTATCTAACCTGACTGCAGTATTGTATAACAAATCCAAAATATCTTATTCATTTGCGCACACTTCCTACAGTGTGTGCCTTCAAATGAATGGAAACTTAACAGACATCTGGTTTTGCACCCTGAGAAATAAATAATAATGAGTGATATTTGATATTATTGCTTAATCAATGCTATATCTCTAATGATCACATAAATCTTTCTGTTTTCTTGATTTTTTCCAGAAGATTTCATTAAGTCCAACTATTGTATTTGGTTGAAATAATTCTTAATTTTTCTAGATTTATTTTCCTTCTGTCTTTTTTTTTTAATTACTCGGAGCTCAACTCCATGAGGAATATAAACTTGTAATAATGTAAGATATCTTAATATTATTAAAGTCCAAGTTAGCATCTATTTCTTCAGTCCACTGTTTCAGGGTCCTCAAGTCATCTTTCTGATTCACTGCTTTCTTTTAAACCTTGCATGTTCTGAAAGCACTCCACCTGTGCCCTTCAGATATAGGCCAATTGCTTTCCTAGAATGAACAGGGCTTTGGGTTCAATCCCCAGCATCTCTTCAAATGCGGGTTCTTGTGGATCTCTGTCATTCTGGAGCATAGGAAGTAGAGGTAAGAGTATCAGTACTTCAAGGTCATCCCTGGTAAACTGTGAGTTAAGGGCTAGCCTGGGCTACTTGAGACCCTGACTCAATAAAATAAATATTATGTTATGAAAGATGACTCGGGGTAAATATCAGGACTAAAGAACTAAGTTTGATTGCTGGGTAATTTTTTTTTTAGTTCAGATATCATATTTCTGTCCTGTATTATCCACAAACCTGTCTACAAGACCTCCCATGGCAGCACAATGGATGTTACTATCAGTTAAGAAAGCAGCAAATCTCCACTGTCACCCTGGAGCCTTTTCCTGTCTCACCCACATCAAATTGGTTTGCAGACTTAAGCTGTATTTCCAATTCCACTCACACTGATCATTCCTCCTACGTTATCTTCTTCAAGACCTCCTCAATCTCAGCTTTGATAATGTCATTGACATTACTGTATTCCCTGTGGTTGTTCTTGCAACAGCATGGATGATCAGCCAGAGTTGTCCCATTGACACTGAAGTCATATCAGGTCATGTCAATTCTGAGATGTACCATTAGGATACTACTTTCCCTCAGGGAAAGTTAATTTGATAAAGAGCGCACATGCTACAAACAACATAAATTGAACTTTATTATTACACTTCTGGGGTTTTTTCATGTCTGAATAACAGCCACCCTGGTATCTTGGGCTATTTTTTCATCTCAGAACTTTGTACTGAATGACTGTTTCCTTTCCTTGTTGGTCTCCCCTTCAGAACCACAGGTCTATTAACTTAGTCACCCTCATCTAGGTTGTGCATCAATTAGGCATGCTTTAGCATTGCCATCCCCATTGAGATATAAAATCGCACCTGCCTCTATCACCCACCATCCTTTACCTTTCCAGCTCTACACAGCACTTCCTGGCAGATGATGTGCATTCGTCTGGGTTCACTTGCTCTCAGCCTCTCACAGTATAATGAGCCTCAGGTATCAGAATGTGCTTTTGTCTTGCTCACTTTTCTATGACCAACACACAGCAATGGTGATTTATCATTAGGCAATGAATGAGGGCTATGAGGGAAACACTAGATGTTTATTGTAAACATTTGTGCCTATTCTGTAGTTTTCCCTGGCCAGTAGGTTATTGAAGACCTAGTACGTTCATAGAGAGTGGGTACCGGAATCTCTGGGAGAGCTCAAAGACAGTCTATCACAAGAGAGGGCTGTCCTTAGAATCCTACTGTGTATAAGCACAGGCACATACAGACTCACTGCACAGGACACCCCATCCATCTACAGGACAGATGGGGGATAGCTGTGCAGGAAAGCAGAGCTGTAGAACTTTGTTCAGTCTGACTGCAGGCACAGGACAGGAAGAGGTGGGTAAAGAGAATGTCCTGAAAGGGATGCCAAATCTGATTAAATAAACAGCGTTGCCTGATTTCCTGTTGACGGGGACAGTCACCCACAGGGCACAGACAGCATGTGGCCTGAAGTGCACAAGCTGTTCTCATCTTCAGTTTTCCCCTCTCATTTTGTCAGCTCTAGCTCCTGGATCTGTGATGCAGACTCCCGTGTGACAGTTGTCTGCAAGGACTTTCCACTGAATATGAACACAGGGAACGAGAAGGCTGTGATACAGCGAACATTTCAAAGGGAAGCCTACCTAAATGTCATCTGTCACCATGCCCTGACATCCTCAACTTCTCATAGATGGAGGGAAGATCCTTAGCACTCCTGCTTGACAATAAAGGAAACCACAGTGAACAAGATTTGCCAGGCACAGATCTCCGCAGCCAGCTATGGCAGAAGCGGCAGAAGCAGCAGAAGCAGCGAACAGAGAGACCTCTTCTCCACAGGCCAGAGGCCTCAGGGGGTAAGGAATGAAGTATTATACCCTGAACTAGGAAGGAAGATGAGAATGACAAACAGCAATCTCGGGCCCACTGCAGATATTCCATCAGCTGCAGCAGCCAGTTACAGCCATGTTAGAGAAATAAGAAACAAGCCAAAACAATTTGAAACGTTTTACCAAAATCAATACCCAAATAATTTCCTTTGTGTCTTCCTCAACTTGAAGCATTGGCTAAGCCCATCCATGATGCAGTCCTGTCTGCCTTGCACCGGAGCACCCCAGCTTCCAAGCAGAGGATCCCCACTCTCAGAATATGTTCGTAAATGTCTGATTACCTATCTTCTCTTTAGAGAAGAGAGATGGTGTGGGTTACAAGTTAGATCTGAATGCCCCTTTCCACTTACCAGAGAATCCTGAGTCCAGTGTATGCGCTCAGTGTAGTTCAGCTGCAGGAACCACTGTCCACTGTGCTGCAGTCTCTTCCCATGAACCAACCCCCCCTTCCTCTGTGAAAAGCAGCAGGTTTCTGACAGTTTGGCAGGACTCACACTCTCTCCAGGGTCCTGCCCCTCCCTCTCAATGTGTGCTGGCCAATTACAGAGCAGCATGGGTCAGTAGCTTTCAGACCTGCTCCATTTCCAAGAAAAGGAAAATGAAACTAAAGTGACCAGCTGTGTTTCATTCTATTAAACCTTTGTTTCTTGGCAGACAAGTCTGGACAGTCCTAAAACAGTACAGGTGTGAAATGTGGGGCTTGGAAATGGAGGGAGAGCACGGAGAAGCAGCTGACTAACCAGGCTGGAACACAACCCTTGAAAGATAACTTTTGGGATCCCTGACTCCACAAATACAGCCTGAACTGAAGTCACACAGCACACTTGTCTGGTGTTGTGTGCAGATGCCAAGTTAAGGATCACCCACGACACAACCTATTTCCTCACAATTGTGGATTCATGTTCCTTAATTCTTGTCATTCTCAACTCTCCTGTCAGTGCACACATTTGATCTGGTTTGGGCGTGACAGGTTTTACACATGTTGTCACAACCATTGTGAGCTTATACATCCAGCTGCCTTGTTGTGTCCAGAAGACACAGTTTCACTGTAGCTAGAATTATATATATTCCATTCAGGACTGGATATTGTTCAGTGTCTTATTCTCTGCATTTTGGCCAGTTGTGGGTCTCTGTATAGATTATGATCTACTGCAAATATAAAAAACTATAAGAAAGGTTGGGAATTGCCTCAATCTATGGGTATAATGATAAATCAAGAGGAGCTGGCTTAATAACATATCCATTTAACAGCATAACAATAGAAATTTTTACCTTGAATCTATAATATATCTAGCCTTAAGTTCTTGCCCAGGTATGGGTTTCATTTAGTGGAGAAGCTATTAAATCTAATCAGGAAGCAATTAGTTACATGGATGAGTTTCTTGCCACTAATACACTGGAGAGCATGTCTCATCTGTCCAGTCATTATAGTTCATAGAGTTCAGAGACTGGTATGATTAATGATTACGTTTATTCTTTGTAGTATAATATGACTACAATTTGACTACATAGATGACTTTTAATTTGCATTTTTAATTATACTTCTATTTTAAATGAGTTACACAAACATAATGCCTCAAACAAGAATAGAAAGAAATATGCAGTATAAGAAATTACCTTAAATTTGTAGCAATAAATGGAAATACATATCAATGTAAAGTATTCATTTCCATATCATATCCTATTCATATTCCATATCATATCTTTCTTTAGAAAGAGATTGACTGTGACCATTAGCTGTTTATAAGCAACCCCTTTTAAATGAAAACAAACATTAATAGACAGTATTTAGGAATTTTGGTATAGATTTCCGTACTACTTCCTGCTGATTGTTGGTCTTGAGAAAGTTTAGAATTATGGTTAAATCTTGGCTGCAGTAGTCAGTGAGGTTGCATAATCTCAGCCAGTTGCCTTGAAGCTGTTTCAGGGGGTCTTTTTCTATCAAACCATATTAACATAAAAGTAATCCACATCTTCTTATCTTCCTTAGAAACAAAAGAAGAATCTCTTTTTCAAAGCAACATATCCTTAGACCTGAATTTTGAAGTTAAATACTTATATGTGGGTTTAGCTTAGCAGATCCCACAATTAAATATCTTTCTTCAGTTAGCTCATTAACAGTTGAAAAATTCAAAAAACCACAATAATTACATAATCTAGACTCTGTGTATTTTCCATCATTACGTGGCCCATTATAAATTTTTTACTCTCTTTGTCTTTTAAGTACCTCAGTTTACTACCCTTAAATTTCTTTTTTTAATCTGTGACTCTGTCTGTCTCATATTCTCTTCCTTCCAAGCTCATGCACATTTATCAAACACAGTGTGATCACTCACAGGCAGCTGGGTCACTGCAAAGCCCACCTTAGAGTGGCAATGATTCACCAGAGTCACAGCCTTGGAGGCCCCAGCATCATTTGCAGGTATCTTTGCTGGCCTGACATCCCCACTCCTGGAGAACAATTTTTGCTTTTACAACCTTTAGGAGAGCTTCATGACTCTTTTAAGGTTTGCACTATCTAAGATATTATTTTTATTTACTTCCTGCCTCTTATTTTATTTTATATTTAAAATGTGTCTCTCTGTTTAGTGTGCATGTTCACACATGTGTGGGCATGTCAGGCTTATGTTGGGCCTGATCCTCAATTTCTACTTTAATTCATCAAGGAAGGGTCTCTCGATTGAACATGGAGATTGCAGATGTACACACTCTACGTAGGCAGCTAGCTCTATGATTCCACTATCTCTGTTTTCTGAGCATGGGAGTTCAAGGTGGCTGGACACCCACTCAGCATTTATGTGGGTTCTGGAAATTGAGCTCTGGTCCTCATACTTGCATGGCAAGTACTTTATGCACTTGATCATAGATTCCCCCAACTTCCTGAGTTTTTATTAGAATGATTAGGAGGAAAGAGCAATAATACAACTATCTAATCATTTGTGTCTGCGCTTGTGCATGTTTGTGTGTTGTATGTGTGCATGTGTCCATTTGTGTGTGTGTGTGTGTGTGTGTGTGTATGTTTGTGTGTAAACGTGTGCATGTATTCCAGTGTGCATGTAGAGTTGAAGATCAGGAAGGAAGGTAGAGAGCTGAAGTTGGGGATTGTCATGTTCTGACATAATAACACACATGAACCCTACCCTTAGGTTTTCCCATGTTGATAGTGGATTGGCTAGTGTTACAAGGGTGGAGGGCAGGCATGGAAGGACTGGAAAATGAGTAGGATTTGGGTACATGCTGTGAAATTCTCAAAAAATAAATCAATTAAAATATATGCTAAAAAACAAACAAAAAAGCAGAATGTGGAACTGTAAACAGATATGGAGTCCAGTCAGTCCCACAGGGTGAAAGGTCCATCTCTCGGCCTTTACCCCACTATTCAAATAAACAGGGACTTATTTTCCTAAAATAAATAACAATGATAAATAAATCTTTTTAAAAAAAGAGTTTATTTTTATTTTTATTCTATTTATATTAACTGATTTGGTTATGAGTTTTTCTATGGTTAGAAAATTTTTAAATTTTCTTTTAATCTCTTGCTCTTCTCTCTTCCCCTCCATGACTTCTCCACTCTCTCCTTTGTTCTTTCATTTAATTAACTTTGTTTCTCAAATTTTTCTCTTTCCTTGCCCCTTTCCTTTGTCACAAGGGGAAGAGAAAGAATAAAAGCTTCTTGCTCTGTTTAAGGTAGAGACACTTCCTGCTTTTTGCAGCTGGCATTGTTCCAACAGAAGCCCTTTATTTTGTTCCAAAAAACAGCGCCAGGCACCTAAGCTGAGGGAGCAAGCAGCATTTCTCTCTGACCTGAGAACTGTATCCAAGTAGGAGCAAGTCTCCAGTTTTTCCCTCTCTGTGTCTTCAGTCCCCAGTAAGTCCAGATGCTTCAGCCTTTGTTTCTATTTCCAGAACCAGGAAAGGGGCACTGGACAAAAGAAGGTGTTTGGAAATCAGTCATGAAAAGGGGGTTGAAGGAAACAATTCCAGAAAATTGTCCCAGGCCAGTGGGGCTCAGCCCCAAGTTAAGATGATCTGGCTTTTTGCATAAACAGGATGTAGAAACCAAAAGCGTTGAAAATTGTGGCATGGACGGCCGGCCGCACTAGTATAAAGCTGTCCACTAGATGGAGCAAGTTCGAAACAGCTTCAACTAACACTGGGGAAGCTTGGGAAATTGCGGTTCTGTGGGTACCAAATAGCAGAAAATAAAAAATAAAAAAAACTTTGTCGAATGCGTTTTCAGCATCTAATGAAATGATCATATGGTTTTCTTCTTTCAGTTTATTTATATGGTGGATTACATTGATAGATTTGCGTATGTTGAACCAGCCCTGCATCTCTGGGATGAAGCCTACTTCATCATAATGTATAATTTTTCTTATGTGTTCTTGGATTCGGTTTGCCAGTATTTTATTGAGAATTTTTGCGTCGATGTTCATGAGTGAGATAGGTCTGTAATTCTCTTTTTTGTGATACCTGCTCTTGAATATCATGAATTTGAGGGAAGCCAGCCTGGGATACACAGCAAGTTCAGACCAGTTTGGGATTTTAAATGAGACCCTGCCTCAGGAAAGAGAGAGAGAGATACAGAGACAGAGATAGGGAGACAGATGACAGACAGGCAGAGACAGAGAGGCAGGCATTATCTGTCACAATCTCTTTGTATATTAATGGATTTCAACTCTTTGTTTTGGAGTAAAACTTCCTTTTCTCTTCCTTTTTCTGTGTCTTGGCTGTCCATATTGTGTGTTTATGTTAACAAATTATTTGTGTTTTTCAATCAATTAAAATCGTTTTGAAGTAAACAAAGAAAAAAGGAAAGTAAAAAAAAATAAAAAAAATAGCCGGCGGTGGTGGCACACATCTTTAATCCCGGCACTTGGGAGGCAGAGGCAGGCGGATCTCTATGAGTCTGACGTCTACCTGATCTACAGAGTGAGTTTCAGGACAGGCTCCAAAGCTACAGAGAAACCCTGTCTCGAAAAAACCCAAAACCCCAAGCAGAAAGAAAGAAAGAAAGAAAGAAAGAAAGGAACAAAGAAACAAAACACAACTAGGCCAAAACGATATTAGTGTTCTCCATAGAAGCATACTAATCAAAACTTCCAGAACACCATTCAAAGCGGTCATTCACACGAAGACATAGGAAAGGCAATCAGAATACCTTGCAGAAAAAGTAAGTTAATAGAAATATCAAATTTTTCTTTGAAAGAAAGTTGATAAAATGAAAAAGACATACTATTGATTTGGAGAAAAATTGCAAATGAAGAATCAGACCTTATGCACAACATATAAAGATTTCCTAAAACTCAATAGTAAGAAAACAAGCAACTTGATTTTCTAATCTAATAGACACATTAGCAAAAAGAAACACTGATGTCAAATAATCACTTGACTATACAGTCACCATTGGGGGAGTTCTAATGAAAACTTCACATACCCACTAGGTGGGGAAGGATTTCAAA